CGCTCTGATCCTTCATATTTCACGCTAGATTGCGGAGCATAACTTACTGGAGACGCATAAGGTTGATACAGTGGATCGGTTGTGAAGTTGAGAAGTATCCGATAGTTTTCGTCGAGTTCCCACTCGCTCGCTGGATATGGTAAATCGTTTGAATCGGAGCTGGCGGCGCCATCATCAAGTTTATAACCGTTTATAAAATCTTGACTTCCGTCAAAGTGAAGATCCATGTTCAGGGGCAGCGGAGAAGCTAGACCCAGAAGCACTAATACCCGAAATGCTTGATAGATCTGAATATTATGAATAAAGGAATTGAATTAAAATATGAACAAAAACTGAGAAAGAAGGCGCGCATCAGAGTTATTAGACGAAAGACCGATCTTAGCGGGAAAAAAACGAAGATGAATCCAAATTAAAGAAACAGCAAAAGATGGGACGAACCAGAAAGACTGATCGTGGAGGTCTGTCGCAGTGAACTTCAGCACAAGTTATGTTTTGGATGAAAATCCAGACAGAAACAGAGAGAGAAGAAAGGTTGAAAGAACGATGAGGGCCCCCGAAGAGGAAGGAAAGAAGAAGCCCGGGAGTCACCACGATTATTTAATACTATCTAAAGAGAGGGTGGATTATTCATTATTTTTATCAACACGAATAGGAATGAAGTAATTGCGAACACGAAATTTGCATCCTGTTTCTCGATTAAATTATTATTTTCATAATAAAGAGCAATCTTCAATAGTTTTTTTTTTCTTCATTTTTTTGTGATAAGTATTTTGAACGTTTGACGTTTTACTGTTCTACCAACATACCGCCTATCATTCTTCGCCAACTATTTTTAGCATCTTTATTATTCGACAATGATTCTTGATTTGACTGATCACCTATCAAAGATTTTTTTCTAATATAATTACTGATTTAACTGATCACCCTCGTTTCATACTTTTAGCGGGAGCAGTATTGCTTTAGATTTAAAGATTGGCAATCCTAAATGTCTTTATTGTAACTTATTTTTTACTCGTGAAGTTTAGTTTATGCAATGAGAGCAATCAGTATAGATCTGGACATTTTTATTATGGCCCAAAACATTTGTGAAAATTTGACCCCATATAAAGATGTCTTCCGGAATGGTCATACGGTAATGAGAAAAGATTTGCATTCGTCTCAACTGGGTGATAAGGGAATGAATTAATTTAACTGATGAGTCTCATTGAATTTTAAAAACGTGGCAGGTGCAAATGCATCATTGTTTATCAAAAAGTGAAAATGAAATCAACCGAAGATATGTGACCAAGTAAAACATATATATATATATATATATATATATATATATATTCAGGAAGAGTCATATCTCTTGTTATAGTTATGCCGGGGAGATAAGAATTGTATTCATCTCAATGATGCGATTAATAAGTCAATTAATTTAATTGATCAATGTCATTGTTTTTTTTTTCACTGGGTTGATTTTTTTTAAGTGAAAAAAAAGTCAAATGGAGAGATTTGACCCCGTGCAGGCAGAGTCACAGTATCTTGGAAGTAGCATATAAGAATGAAGAGATAAGAATTGTAAGTATGGGGATCATGGAACTAGTAAATTGATGAACGATGAATGAATACTACTGGCAACGAATGGAGTATTAAATACCTACTTTTCGGGGATAGCTTGATGGCCAAGCCTCTTAAGTCTGAAGTTGTATTCTTGGTGAGCAAGCCTACAGCATACGAGCCGAAAACGAGATGCTGCCACTGCACAGTTGCCACTGCACAGTTGCCACGTGCTCCCCCCCCCCCAAAAAAAAGACGTCACTTTTATGCTGACTTTATTTTATTTATGTGGAGTGTTGACCCAGAACCTTGAGAGAAGATGATGCGAGGAGGGCATTGGAGAAGGTCTGCGGTGGGTTTGACATTGGCATTGTGGTCAGCGAAGATACAAGGTTCGAAGTATCCCAAAACACAGTACGACAACAACGGGATCCGACATTTCAATATCCACAACCTTTGCGGCATCCGCTTTCCATCTTCGCCAACCATGGATAACCGCTGCCTCATTCTACACTTTATATACATCAATAAAGTGTATGTATATGTGTGTGTTGGGATTTATTTTGGCAAGTAAGAGTAGATTTAGAAGGGAGAATATCAGGAAGGGTGCGTTGGAGCACTGTGTTGCCTAATGCCCGGTAGATGGCTCTTTCTGCCAAATTGTGCGGTCAAACACTACTTCTCTGATCTTATTTATAAGATAAAAAAAAAATTTAATTTTATTTATAGGGTACTGAGAGATTTTTTTTGTATGAACATACAATTTTACCTTACATTTATTATTATGTTGACTTTATTTATATGAAGTATAATGTATATTAAACAGAGATAAAGTTAAAAAGTTATTAAATTTTAAATTACAATTAATAAAATTTAAGATCTTTTTTTATATAAAATATGTTAAAAATAACTTATAAACAAGATTAGAAAAAAGTGCATTATAAGCATTAATTTGAATTCAACGTAAGCATCGAAGTGAGCCAAATAGCACTTGAATATATACATATACGCATGTGTGCGCGCGTATCAAAGAATGTATAATTGAGCGGCCTGTGGGTGGCCACACAAAATTCGGTCGCGCTTGCACTGCTATCTTATTCTCTCATTGGACCCCAATTCATTCTTCCTTACTAACACCGAAATTCAATAAAATGTCACACTATGCTGGTTTAGACTTTTAATATAAAAACTAGTTCATTAATCTGAACAAATTAAAAAAACCAATAATATTAGTTATTTATAATAAATATGTGTTATTTTTTATAAAATATATTTGTCAATCAAGTGTCTTGACCAGAATTATAATTATTATAAGAACAACCCTAAAAAAAATAGATAAATATAGGAAACAAAGTGATTTGAAATATTATACTTATGATCAAAATAAAAATTAAACAAACTCTTATGTTAAGGACAGAGTAGTACTAACTTGGTGCTGGTGTTCTTACATTTTGTTCCCATGTGGCATTGTGGTGTTTTTTTATATGTAAATATATTTTTTATTTCTAGTATCTGGCTTAATCTGTCAATATAAGGACCAAAAATCAGCCAAAAGAAGCTGATTTGCAACAAAAATATCATGTTGATGTTGTCATGTTTCGAAATCTTTTAAATCTCTATCAATGGCAAAAAACATTCGTATAATTAACTTTTCAATAAAAATTACTAGATTATTAAAACACTGGCGAACTATAAAGAAATAAACTGCATTATATATTACCTTTGGTCCTAAATATACAAGTTAGTTGGCCAATTTGAAAAGATAAAAAAAATAAGTTAAATTACTTGTTTATAATAAATAAGTGTTGTCTTGCCTAAAATGTCTGTGCTAATCAAGTATATTGGCTAGAACTACTATTATTAGAAGAACTATCTTGAAAAAAATACATAAATGTGAGAGACAAAATGTATTGAGATATTATATTTAGGACTAAAATAAAAATCAAATAATATTTTATATTAACAATCGGAGTAGGCCAAAAAAAAACTGTACTGTATTTGGCCTGAAGTATGCATTTGTCTGTACAACAAGCCCGATTTCTAGTTTCCACAAATAATACATATACGTGCGCGCACACACGTATAATTTTCGCCGTCTCTCTCTCACACACACATATATCTATATAAATATAAATCTTATGTGTGGATGATTTGGGGTGCAAATTAAAAAGCACGAACAACCGCTCCTAATTTTTCCCTGAATCTTATCACTCGCGTTACGCAATCCGGACCATTTTTATTTTCCAATAGTAACATTATACTACCTCACCTACTTAAAGGATGGAAATAAAATTATGATTTTAAAATTAATTTTATAGTATACGAAATAAATATATGAAAGAATTTGTCTAATTTATAAAAAAATACTTTTTAAAAACACTTCTATGATCTTCTAAACACCCTCTTAATAAAAAGATTTAATTTGACTTTTAAGTTAATAATAAATATAAGACCTCAATCATTTTATCTCACATATTTATCCACTTTTAAAATAGTATTTATAATAATTTCACATGTTAAAGATTCTATCAAATAGTAGTTCTAACTAATACAAATAATTAGTAAGGGCATTATAGGAAAAATAACACTTATTTATTACAAATAATTAACCTAACAAACTTTTTTAATTTACTCAAATTTGTCAATTAGATCTTACTCCTCTGATCCTACTTATAGGGCAGAGAGAGAAAGTATTTTTTTGTTCTATTTATAAGGCACTGAGAGAAATTTTTTATATAGATATACAATTTTACCCCTCATTTATTATTGTGTTAACTTTGTTTATATGAGGTATTGATATATATTAAATAGAAATAAAGTTAGAAAGTCATTAAATTTTAAATAAGAGTTAATGATGTTTAAGGTTTTTCTTGGTGTATGTGAAACATACTAGAAATGCCTTATAAATAAGACCAGAGGAGTATATTAAATATCGAAGATAGTATTATAATCATAATTAAGGTTAAGGTATATCCAGTACCCTGAAGTATTTTCTCAGGTGTATTCAGCATCCTAAAATATTTTGTAGTACATCCAGCACTTTAAAGTGTTTTTTTAGATGTGTTCAATACTGTGAAGTATTTTTTGATACATCTAGCATCTCCAAATATTTTTTATGTACATCCAACACCTAAAAATATTTTTTGATGTATCTAACATTAACATAAAAAAAATTTCAATATTAGGTGCAACCTGAAAATGCACTTGAAAATATTCTTTCGGTCCTTAGTATAGGACTTAATTATTAAGTTGATTTTGGTTTTAAATATAAGACTAATTTCTCATATTTATTAATTTTTTTAAAATTATTCTTATGGTATTTTAAGAAAAATGTGTCATATTTTTTATAATTAACTAATTTACCTAATATTTTTAATCTAATCAAATTAGTTAAATAGATGTTATATTATTATTAAGCCGACGAGGAGTAGCTCGGATGCAGGTTAACCTATTCGCCTGAAGCAGCAAGTTACCATTCTTGTTCATTTGCGGGCGAGTCCAGTGGAGTTGCTGCTCCAGATCGTGGCGGAGTAGGTAGAAAGCAGCTCGGCGACCTGATTGAAACGCTCCAACGATTCAGATCTGATTCCAGATCTCTACAATTTTATATTCCTCACTCCTCACTCTCTTTTGCATATTTGTTTAATCTCTATTTTCATCTAAACACTTCCTCTAAACCCTAACCTGCTTTTCCTCCCCAGTATTGCTCCTGCTTCGTCAGTTAACTACCTTCCCGTTTTGATTCTCAATTGCCAACAAAAATCGAAGCTTTTTGTAATTTTGTTTCCCCCCTTTTCCTGTTTGCGCAATTATTGGTTTCTCACAATGAAAGAAGGTAAATCGATTAAAGTCAGTCACCAGCAACAGCACCAGAATGGTCACCTCTCGCCTTCCAAGTTCGCTAAATTTCTTGATCCCGAAGCTTCGTGGGATAAGGTCCGCTCTTTAATGTATTCATTGAAGGTTTCTTTCATCCGTGCCTGTCTTTTTTTATCTATTCCGTGTTCAGATTGTTTTGCGGGGCATTTTGCAGGGTATTGAATAACCGAACTCATTATAGGCTAAATCTAAAGTACCAACATTTTCTTCTTCGGTACATCGGTCGAAGCAGAATTATATGTTCAAGTCTTCAAATTTGGTCAATATAGATAAATGAAGTATCGTATTAATATATGCTCAGATTCCTCACAACTCACAAGTGCTGGTTTAGAAAAATATATTATATATCTGCAATTTGGCTATTACATATCTCCTTTGAGTTATTGGTATTACTATTCTGTGCTATGTAATTGAATTGACACTAAACGATTTATGTCTTTGCCCCCTAAAATAGGATCAATTGGGAGATGTTTTACATTGGATTCGACAAGCTCTCGGCCTTGTGTTTGGATTATTATGGGGTGCCGTACCTTTGGTTGGGGGAATATGGTTTATCCTGTAAGTTTGTTCGCTTTGTAAATTAGACATGTTTATGTCGAAGTTGTTTTATTATGATGACAGATGACATTGCCAAAGACTCAGCTTTTATTTAAATTTACTCATCCACTGATGTTGACTGCCTTGTTTCTGTAATTTGTGATGCTATATACAGACTGGAAACATCTCATTCCCTCTACCTTTTTCTTTCCTGTTAATTGGATCCAGACTCACGCTGTCTGTTTATTGGGAGTCTGGAAGATGGCTGTTTTACCAGTGATTGTGACAAGACAAGATTGGAAAAGAAGTAGTGATAGTAAAATGCAAATATATGAACTGAATGTAGAGCATCTCCATTTCTCCTTCAGGATAACAAATGCAAATTATACTGCAGATGATTTATGTCATCCGATTAAAATCATATTTTAGACACCTAGCTTTGAGATCCGACATGAATTAACTATGATGTTAGATACTTCTGCATAATAAAAATGCTGCTCTGGATTTGAAATTTAGAAGATTGCCTATATGCTTATCCACGTCTGTTTTGTATCATGCTGCAAATATTCCGCAAGGTGGCCTATTAGGCAGCAGCCCATCTTTTGAAGTCCTTGTTATTATCATTTTTTTTTTGGGGGGTTCCCCCCTCGATCCAATGCGCATTCTTACTTGTGAAGAATTCAAATTTTTGTATGTCCATTTTAATAAAAACTCTGATAAGTCTCGGAGTTTTATTCTTATCATTGAGTTGCAAGGTAAATACTAGAGAGATCTGTTAGCCTTGGGGTGCAGAAAGCCAGAAAAATCAGATCATTCTGGTACCACCATGTATTTTATAAGATTTGGTTAATTCAGTTGTTATGCATCACCATTGGTATAACATTTTCAGGCTTTAATTACCGATCTCATGGGTCTTGCTTGCTTTTGTTACCCTAGGAAAAATGATTTTCTTATATTGCATAGTTTCTAGATTCTAGATGCTGTTATATAATGCTATTTTATAGGGCTTGATTAACAACTTGAAGTGGCATTGCGCTTTCATAAAAAACCTACAGCTTTGACATGACCTAAACAACATTATTTTCATATGAATTTATTATTTTATCATTTTGTAATTTTTTTGGGTCTTTGTTGCAGTTTTTTGGTGATATCCTCTGGGATCATATATGGTTATTATGCAGTAATATTAAAGGTTGACGAGGAAGAGTTTGGCGGTCATGGTGCACTCCTTCAAGAGGGTCTTTTTGCTTCTATAACTCTTTTCCTGGTAATTTGTTGTTTTGATATGGTCCTTATTCTCTTCCTGCTATCATCCTAGAGAGGCTCTTGAGCACAGAAGATTAGAAAGGGTCCTATATTTTCCCTTCAAAATTTCGCTCCTTATTTTGTTCTTGTTTTCAATATCTGTGCAGCTTTCGTGGATCCTAGTTTACAGTTTAGCACACTTCTGATTGGCAGGGCATTGGAGGTTTTGTAAATATCTCCAACTGTCAGTGGCATTCGCCAGATGTTACTTGATTTTATGAGAGTTGCCTTGAAAACAATGAGAAGGATCATTCGAATCGAAATTATTTGTTTTACTTCCTTAATTGTAAAACGTTTTGACTTTGCAGAGCATGAACAAATCAGCTTCTGGTTTCCGTGGTAAATACTGTATTCTCCATGCATTCCTAATGGCACCACGTGTTGTAGCAAATTATGGACTGCAGAAACCATGGCAAACAACATTCTGTTTTAGTTTATCACTGAAATAAAGTTTGCTTGCAGGCATAATTCTGACGGACCTTGTTGACGCGTTTCACATTTCCTCTTACATTTTGTTTTGATATTTCCTTAACTGTACAAATACAGCCTTTACGCTTGGTTTTACACCTCTTTCATCTTTAAACTCATGCTGGAATGAAATCTCATGGTAGTTTTTGGCTTGCAACGTAAGCAAACCTTCCTTCAATTTGGAACTCACTCCCACGCGGCAGGACGTAGTCCTATGGCTGAGGACGTATAAATTTACTGAAGTAAACCTCACGTATGTAGGAGTAGGTAATCATAATAAAGATGAAATGTGATAAGTCTTTTGATATAGCGAAGCTTGCAAGACGAATACATGAATCTCCACTTATATAATGTGGAAATAGACTTCTCCAGCTCCTATTCGCCCCAGAAGTTAATCATTAAGCGATTTTCGTAAAATTATTATGTTGACATGTCTTTCGTAAGACTTGTTAACGAAATTTCCATAACGCTTACACGAAAGGAAGAAATCGTCCATCCATTTCTGTTAAATGACGGTATGCCGAGAATTAGCACACGTTGGCCATAACCAAAACTGTTTTCATAACAACAATTGAGAATGGGATAGAAACTAATTGGATTCCCATCCTTGCTATACGTAACTAAAGCAACTACAAACCACAAATGCTTAAATTTTTACTTCGGCGAAGGGAAAAAGGAGTCCCCCGCCCCCCCGGGGGGGTTAATTACGAGTTTACAACCGTCTTTGGCGCTGGGATCTGCCTCTGAGCGAAACGAGGTAAATACGCCCGTAAACCCATTTTCTTCCCAGTCTGGATACCGATTGCTGCAAAATGAGAGCATCACTTTATGCCAAATGCTTTATATAATACGAAGGATTGTCTTCAATTCCCTCCCGTCTCTGTCTCTTTTTATCTTTTTTGGGGGCGGCCCGGGGGGGGGGGTTGTAGAACAAAGCCTAGCCCTAACATCATTATAGGATAGTCATATTCAAATTACTCTACTTGAAAATATGTAACAAATCTAATTAATGATACCTGAGCTTTCAAATGCAATTACCTCGACTTGGGTCTGAAATTCTAGTAGGCATCCGCACACGTGACAATCTGCTCTGTGGGGAGAATCATTAGCCCTGTCCCTTCTTACAAATGCGAATACCTGAAGGAAAAATGAAGATCTGAGTCACCAACTGGAAGGGTTGGAAGGTTGGAATAAAGTTCGAGGGATGGATATTGAACAGAGATCGCAGTTATGCAATAGATTGAGCGCACAATTCACTGACCTCTTCTCCACAATTTGGACATGCACCTTTTAGTGCCACCAAGTCATTCCTCCATAGGCCTTGAAGCACCTTCGCTGAAAAAATGGGTAGTTGAGTTACGGACACAGGGTTCGCGACCATGTCATGAACAGTTATATTATTACTACCGACACAGAAACTTTTGCTGAGGATTCAGCCCTAGGAATATGCAAGATGAACAATATCAACTAAAAATTTTGACCTGAAGCTGATGCAACAGGATAGCCAATGACACAGCCCAAAGTCATGAACACAACGCTATTCACTGTGGCCAGAAATCCCAGTCCAGATCCTTGGTTGACATAGGATAATCCAGAATTGAATGCAGTATAATAAGCCATGCTGATAGTGTACAACACAGGCCCAACGCATATTGTGCTGCCAAATGCAAGGAAGACGATCCATGTGCTGGCTAATGCAAAAATCATAGACAAATCTGCCTGCCCTACAACCACAGCATTCAATATTCAGGTGGAGGACCAAGACTCAGGGGATTATAAGCCTGATCATTCTAAGCAGATAAATATGTTGACATATCATTTAGCATGCATCGGATACAGATATTCAATAGCATTGCATCATACAAAACACAAATATTACTTCCTCAGGCAATAGCGGGATGCGGAAGTCAAGTGTCACTCGCTCAATCAGTAATTTCGGCACATCATTCAAATCATATGGGGCACCACGCAGCCCAAACATACAAACTCACTGACCACAAGAAATAGATTTCCGCGAGTTTGCATAATAGCAGACAAAAAGTGCACACGCAGTTATTCTGGATTTCAGGAGAAATTACCTCAGCATCAGCATAGGTTGATTGCCTCCTGATACTGCAACGAGGATATTTGACTACAGATTTCGAACCATACCATCGCAGCTTTAACTGTTCCAATAAATTATCTTACATTAATAAGGTTGACACAAAAACTATCTAGAAGAATGCCACGTGAATAGGGGTAGACAGCGAATACCTCCACTCTATCAAACATGTCATCAACTATCAAAGGCCTTCCACTGTAATACGCATCCCGTGCCTATTCAAGGAAGAAAATTTTAAAAAAAGGGAATTAACACGGAACAGAATGGAATATACTCAAAAGAGTTCATAAATATACAAGCTTATGGTAACAAGTCCTATACAAATTGTCAATTTCACATTTCTACCAGTTCTTTCCCCACACTTTATCCACGCAATCTCAAACAGGTTTTAAGGAGAGCCAAAATTGAATTCAGGAGTAAGATAGGAAACTCAAGAAAAGAGTTACTTGGAGATAAAGAGCCTCGAGGGTTTCTTGGCTGGCCGACTCGATGGGGCCAACGTAGACGCAGTGAGGGCCCTGGGCGAGGTTGTCGCAGGTGGGGGAAACAGAGGCTCCATTACTCTTAGCGGAGAAACGAACGGAGAAGGAAGGAAGAGAGCGACTACTTCTGGGGAATTCTAGAAGAGTGGATCGCTGAGGAGAGAAGGAGGGGCTCGTGGCCGCCATGAGACGCCGAGACGCACCGCCTTGGCTCCGGAACAGTTTGAGATACAAGACACGATATGACATGCGGGTCCAATGGTTGCGTTTTGGGCGAGAGCATGAGTGGGAATTCACCATAAGCAAAGGCAAGCTAAGCGAATGGACGAGATTACCCCTCTATTTGGCGCCCTTTGCCGATATTTCTGTTAACGCGATTGGTCCATATTTTGCAATGACATAACTTGATCATCGGAGGACAAAGAAATCCACCCTCGCCACAGACAGCAAGCACTCCTCATCCAGAAATTTTTTTTTTTTTAATTTGTTTTTAATACCCCCCAAAAAAAAAAAAAGAGCCTCAGAGTAGGCGGTAAAAGGCCTTTAAGAAATTATGCGTTTGCCGGGAGTCGAACCCGGGTCTATTGCTTGGAAGGCAATTATCCTAACCGTTGGACTACAAACGCTTGACTGATGGTGTTATCCTTTACAATAAACACGTCGAATTTTAAGCACATCGTTTTGACTGACTTCAAGCACTATTTGACGAAGGGAACCTAACAAATGTTCCCACTGGGGACCTTATATTTCTATCCATGTGCATCTTGGACCTGGAAAAGTAGCAAATGTTCAACTTTGAACTTGGAGGTCAATGATGTTATCGACTCCTGCAGGAGCGGATGCACGAATGAGCTTTGGGCCTTGGTTACTTGGGATTGTAGTTATGCTCTGGGTAGTTGACGAAAAAGTTCATAGGAGATTTGCTTCCACGCGAGCGACTCTTCCCACTGTTTTTTTTGGTACAAGAAAGAGGTCAGTACTCTAAAACAAGAAGAAAACTGGACTACGGGGGAATTAAATCCCAAACACTCCTGATCAACAAAGGTCCTAAGATAAATAGGACAAACATCCAGCAAGCGAGAAGTAGGCAGTCCTTTTTTAGTCAAAGCATCCGCCACTTTGTTCTCTAAACACATGATGTATCTACAGCTCCCAGTCCCATCTTTTCATGTTTTGAATCTGGAAGAAAAGATGGGACTGTGTTATGAGTTTTATATTAAGAAATCTCATAAATATTATAGGTTTTATAAGTTCAAGGAACTCTTCCTCTTAATAGATTAGTTTTTTGAAACTAAGCTTTCTCTTTGAGTTTATACTCGTCACAGACTAGAAGCTACAGATTTGGTAGCATAGCACCCATAATTGGGTTTGTCCATGTGGTTTTCAATGTGTAGAACATTGTTTTTGTGGAATTTCAGAAAGAGCATGAATTTATCATTGGAGGTTGGGTCTAGTGGAAAAGGCTAGTCCCTCACAAAGTAGCTAACCATGGTTCAAATCCCCCATTAAAAAATGTGCTTGCATTTAGTACCCGACAGTGTCTCGAATAGAATTGCTTATAATAGGAGGATACTTATGTATAACCCCAAAAAAAAAGACAGAAAAAAAGAAAGAAAGAAAGAGCATGAATTTGGATTTGGCATGAATATGGGACCAAGCCTTGTAATTGTTCCATGTCCGAGATGTATGGGCATATATGGCATTTGTTAACTGCTCAGCTCTAAAACTGTTTTGTCTTCCAATTCTGTAATGGATACGACAGAAGTACTAATGGGCCTCAGGAAAACATCAGGATGTTGGAACAATAATTAGGTAGAGAAGAGCCCAACAACTTCGTGCAACAACTAGTAAAGGATTTCAAAGAAAAAAACCTCATGATCCATTTATAACTTAGGCCATCAGTTAAACAGCGAGGAAGATTTCTTTCCTTTTCTTTTTCAAACCCCCCCTCCCCAAAGGTATGAAACCATGTCTAACTTCAACAAAAGAAATTTTCCCTTTCATTGGAATTATTGCCATCGACCCTATACTCAGTAGCTGCCCTGGCTTATACCATCTGAATGAAAAGTGGTTAAACAAAGTTAATATGGTAGGTTTGGAATTCGATGTATAAGAAGGGTAAAAGAGCTTTTTTAATGCATGATAGGAGGATGCCTAGTTTATTGAGGAATGAGGGAATAAAGAACCAGTAATTAAGTTTCCCTATCGCCTCCTCACTGAAACATAAATAACATCGGTTAGTAGCTCACCACTCTTGTCGGCATAATCCCAAAGTGAGTCAATGCAAAGGAAGTGAGTCGAATGCTCCTAACTTATAGGCATGAATTATGGTGGTTCTCTTACTGTTTCAGGAATCTAATTCCACAACTCTGTCCTTTCCTGCCCTCTTAATTTTGCTGCATGCAAGCCTAGATGCAGGGACCCCACTGTGGCAGTTAATTCGGTTGTTGCAGCTGTTGGCGCGGGCTCGCGCACATGCTTGAGTATAGGACATACTTAAAGAAGGAAAATACTTTGCTTTAGAATCTGGGGCCAGTAAGGCAAATGAAGAAAAGGGCAGCGAAACTGTGACGGGATTCTATCGCATCAGGACAGGGTAGCTTTGGAGATATGCACGATGCTTCTTGATGAAACTTTGCTTCGCTATGAAGATGAATTTTTTTTGTAAGTTTGTAGGCAATAGGGATGCAGAATCGCACTGATTTCGGATCCACAGTTATTCCGAGAAAAGCCAAAACGGCACCACAATGAAAGCACAAATCATTGCATTTACATGCATGCCCACTTCAGCCCACGCTGTCATCATGGTTGATGAATCCGGAGCCTTTGAAGCTTGAATTTAGCAGTGTAAAATTCAAATGGCAAGCAAATTTAACATTTACTTGTAGGATAAAAAATTGGCTTTTGGGATATTTGTTCCGAGTGTCAAAGGCACAGAGACACCTCTCCTACCTCTAATCATTAGCTGACCCTAGTAGGCCTTTCAGTTATACATATATAAAAGCCTGTGTGATGTATCTGAAGCAACAATTCTTGTGACTCGACATTATGACTGGCCCCAAACAACTGTTCAACCAATAATCCTTCTTTTCCTGTTAATATAGCAAGTAATAATGAATGATTCAATTTTCAAATGCAGGTCTATGGTTTGTATAATGCAAGGTCCTCTTTGTAGCTCAAAGCCTGAAAAATCCCCATAATGTGGTCTCTCCTGATGATGTTATTATTACCTATTCTATACGCCGAAACACTTCCTTCTCTCTTTCTTCCCCCTTTAATCTGTAAAATTTGTGTGTGGCGAAGTGAGCTTATTCTTCAGGCAGAAGCATGAGGCATTGATTGGCTTTAATTGATAGTCAAACATGGCGAGAAAAGGGAGGAAATTAATTGGAGGAATGTTTAAGAAGGAAATGGTTTGGTGGGGGGTGCAAGGACTAAATGTTTGAGGCAAAGTCAGTGATGATGGGCTCTCTTTCTCAGCAAGCATGTGACATGTTCCAAAGGGCATGACTTGAACTGAGTTACACATTCCATATGTAGAATTAATGCGTCTATCTTCAATCAAGCCAGGATTGGTGGAACGCATTCAAACACACTCACCAAACTTAATAACCAACAAAACATATTCAATGGTCAGCAAAAAAGGCACGCTTCACACAAGTAACATATAATCGCTACGTCGTTTTAGTCAAATATTCTTCAATTATGTTTAACTAATCTTGTTAAAGTTTATCGCACAGGTCAATACTTTATTGTTAGACTATGCGGTTGTTTCCAATTCCAATATTTGCATATTTAAGATTAAATGGAGTATGTGTGTGTGCGCGTAGTCAAGACATACGTAGTCAATATATATACACATACATATTATATTAAAGTTGACGTACGGACTCTTACATTTTTGAGTATGCGTTGGTTTGTGCACGGTTACTAGTTAAGACAGTTCCAAGCACAAAGCTCTGGCTGTCCGAAATTCTTCATTAACATAACATCCAGCTGGGAACATTCCAAAAGGCACAAGGAAATGGCCACGTCGAACACTTTCCGAGATTCTTTGTTTAATACGGGCATCGTTTATTTGCTGGGAGTGAGCGAGGGCGCCCCAAAACATAAAAGCAGAGAGCAAGAAAAAAAAAAGTTATTATTCTTCCTGTTTTAAATGTAATATCTTTATATATATATTAGTATAAGGGTCTTATATTTAAAACAGAAAGAGTATAAATTTTGTGGTGAGGATGCATGGAGAGTAAAGACTCTTTTTGTTTTTTTTGGCCAACGTAAATACTCGTGTACATGAAGAGATGACCGGGAGGGGAGCACAATTAAACCCTACACCAGTATGCCAACCACTTCCAACGAATTCTTGCAACAATCAACGCTCATATATTTAAATATATAAATTAACAATTCTAATGAAAAATAAAAGGGGAAATTGTTTAAAAATATCGGAGAACCAGGTGGGTAGGCAGGGGCAACTCATTTCAGTAAGTAGAACTGTTTTTTAATTTGTTTAATATATTTTCATTCATGTGCCAATATTTTTTTCATTTTGTTTTGGTTTAAAGTTAGTTACGCACAATTTTTAAGAAAAATGGACTTATTGAAAATAGTTGCTACTGATAAAAATGTGAGGAGAAAAGGCGATTACATTTTGATGGAAGAAAATTGTAAACAAGTTCATGTGGAAGGTAAACAAATGTTTGGGAGTCGTTGGTTGATTGACGATTTGACGGGAAAGGAGAAATGGTTGGGGTGTAACTGAGTATTATTTTAATTTTTCAGACTACCTATTATTTTAATGTTTTTAGGGTTTTTCAAATTTAAAGGAAAAAAATTCTTATTTTTGTTGGAGGAAGGACCCTGTTCTGGCGAGTAGTGCGCCTGCCCATATCAGACAAAGAAGGAGACGTGGAGGGTAACGATTGGGCCACGCAAACCCCTTTATGTTTTTAGGGGAGTTGGATGCACATGGGTTTGTGGTCATATTTGCCCTTTTGGAGAGAGAGAGCGCGCGCAATTCAGATTCTTGGGTTGGACGTGACTTCACGAACCCTCGCATCAGAATTTTATTTTGATTAATATTTAAATTTTAAGAAAATATGGTGAATGAAATATAAGTAAAATGGTTATGCAATTATGGTCGCGACGTTACCCACAGACAATGGCACCAAGGACACACAGAATTGACTATCCCTTCCCCCCTCACATGGCAACTTCTCAATGGGTAATCATCATTTTTCGAAATGACTAAACCTAATTATTACAGCTACACAAATCGGGTTTATGTTGTCCCTCTCCCTCCATTTGTTTTTGGGTCTCAACAGCCCGGGCGACTGTGTCCCGATTTCGAATACAAACAGGGACACCAACCTAATTATTACAATTACACAGGTTGGGTTTGTGTTTGATTTCAATTGCTCGTCGCTGCTTTTCATCCCCCTGTTTCTCGATGCACGTCAACGCGGCAGGACTCACAAGGGTCAAAGTTATGTGCTTCTGTAACATAAGCTGCCATCATGGAGAGTTAATTTGCAACTCAAACTTGCTTATTCGGGACTGCTAATTTGGTCCTCTTAATTGGGCTACAATTCACAACTTCCCTTCTTTTGATGGAGTGTTGACTAAACGAGATGGTTCCCAAAAGGACTCCAAAATTAAAAGCGTTCATCACATATATATATATATACACGCTCACACACACACACTTTTAGACATTTGGGGTATCCAATGTGGCTGGCTAACTTGATTTATAAGCAGGGGATGGTGAGGGCTCAAGCGCAAGGACGCTTTTGTCCTTGCCCATGGAAGAGGAAAGCGTGGTGTGGGCATGGGAAGAGGAGGTTTGAGTTCGAAGCATTAGAGGGGAAGAGAAGGGCCACTCACATTGAAAGCGGGCTCTAAGGAGCGATGATCACGGGAACCATGAGGGACCCACCATTTCCACCCAATATTCAAAAATGCGTATCATTGTATCCTCTTCACACCCCATCAAATCTGCGGAGGACCCACCCCTCCTCCTCTCACCAGCCCGCTGATCGCGCCCTCCCTTCCCCTACGCATTCCCTTTTAGTTTACCCCCCGCCCTCTGTTTTATACTTTTATTTCACCTTCCTCCTGCTCCTCTTGCCTCCTCCCTCCTCACTTTCCATACATAAGCCTATCTTCCCGCTTTTGTCCCTTCCCTTTTCCCTATTCCCAAAAGCTCCAGGGGATCGTTTTGTCCTTCACGTACAATGCTACATACCCTAGATTTGGTTGACTTATTTGTCCCTTAACTAAATAAGTATTTCACCAACGCTCAAAAAACGAAGAGAAAATGGATTTTCATGACTGGCTGGCTCATCAGTTATTAGAGCGTACAAAGTAGTAGTACAAGCAGTCTCCGGTCTCCCACAAATCAAGTGTTAACAGTCCCTCTTTTTTTTTTTTGACCAGCCAAGTGTTAACAGATTACAACTAGGACCGCATTGAATAATGATAAATCAAGTTTCGGAAAATTTCAGATGTTGCCACTCTCCCTCAGGCCTCCATAAGTACCCCCGCCCGCTGCCCTCCCCCTCCTCATCTTCTCCCCTTTGCCCTCTTCTCTAGCGTTAGATACTCATACACTATCACCATGGCTCTCCCCATTCTGCTCTGCATTGCTTCCCTCCTCTCATTCCTCTGCCAAATCGAAGCCAGAATCCCCGGCGTTTTCACTGGAGGTGCCTGGCAATCTGCTCATGCTACTTTCTATGGAGGATCCGATGCTTCCGGCACCATGGGTTTGTACTCCCCAACTCCATTCCACATAATGTGACTTCTAATTACGTTGCTATCATCCAGATAACCCCCATTCCCCTGCATCTACTCTCTTCAAAACAGAGGGACGCTCTGTTCCGTTCCTTCACTTTTTTCTGGTCAGATAGCGAGATGTGAGCTTAGATGGAACTCTTTCTTAGTTGTTTTGGGACTACTGACAGTATATTACTTACTATCATCACAATGTACCTCACAAACTGTTTTACCCCCTGCAATTTCTCTGCCAATAGCAGAGCAGCACTGTGTTTCCTGTTTCCGGTAAGGTGGCCGGTGAGCAACCTAACGTGAGTTATTTTTTGCTGAACAGGTGGAGCTTGTGGGTATGGTAATCTGTACAGCCAAGGGTACGGAGTGAACACGGCGGCATTGAGCACCGCACTGTTCAACAGCGGCTTCAGCTGCGGTGCGTGCTTTGAGATTAAGTGTGCAAACGACAGAGAGTGGTGCCACTCGGGCAGCCCTTCCATCTTCATCACGGCCACTAACTTCTGCCCACCAAACTACGCCCTTCCAAACGACAATGGCGGCTGGTGCAACCCTCCCCGCCCCCACTTCGATCTCGCCATGCCTATGTTCCTCAAGATCGCCGAGTACCGCGCCGGCATTGTCCCCGTCGCCTACCGCCGGTAACTCCACTTTCCACTTCTCACTTTTACCTCTAAAGTTTCAACATTTAACACAAGTGTTTCCGACAGTCAATAACTCGTGCGTGGATGTATGCTTGCAGGGTGCCATGCAGGAAGCCAGGAGGGATAAGGTTCACGATCAATGGGTTCAGATACTTCAATTTGGTGTTGATCAGCAACGTTGCGGGTGCAGGGGATATAGTGAGGGTGTACGTGAAGGGGACGAGGACAGCTTGGATGCCGATGAGCAGAAACTGGGGGCAGAATTGGCAGTCAAACGCGGTGTTGGTGGGTCAAGCGCTGTCGTTTAGAGTGACCGGCAGTGACCGGCGCACCTCCACCTCATGGAACATCGCTCCTCCTCACTGGCAATTTGGTCAAACTTTCACCGGAAAGAATTTTCGGGTCTGATGAAAAAACCCATTAAAATATTATTTTAAAGAAAAGCCCAAATTTCTATGTGTTACTATTTCTCCAGTTTGACTGCCAAGTTTCATGGGGAATGGTTTTTTTTTTTGACTGGCTGTTTTGGAAGACTGTGGAGGAATTTAAAAAAGAAAAAAAAAGAAAAAGGAGTGAGAAAGTGATTCACGACTTGTTGACTTTTATTTTATGGTGGGTAGGTGCGTGGGGCTCTACTTTGTACGGTGAGAGTAACTATACATGAAAGGGGGAAAATGTAGGGAATGCTGAAGCGGCTAATCAAGCAAGGTGGTAGCCCGCAGCTAATTAAGAAGATTATATATGTAGCTTTATATATATGTGGAATGTAAGCATGTGTACTGTGGTTAGTTAACTTACAGTTCAATGGGAATGGTCAATTATAAGGTTTGTTTGATTCACTGTCACCCATTTGTTCCTTCCTCTGATAATGTTGATTTGATGATTTCCCTCGCATATGCGTCGCTAGACGGATAGGCTTGTCCTTTGCCATCAAGATCCCAACCACTCCACCATAAAAACAGATGGAATATTTAAAACTGAACCCAGTGAGGATTAAATGCAAAGATCGTTAAAATATTCATCCCATCTCCATCGAATTGGTTGCATGATTGAAAGGGAACCTGGAGACCAAAAAGGCCTCGACGCATTAATAACAGAGTGGGTAAAAGCAGGACACGTTGTGCATGTTGGGGAGAAAATCCCAGGATTATTACTGAAAAGTCGACATGACTTTTCAAACTGTGAAAGCTGTGAGCATTGATTTGTTGTGTTCCCATCATTCGCATTATTGGGAAGTAGAAAGTAAACAGCTATTATCAATTATCATCGAGAGAGGCCAACGAGAACCAGTGACAAAGGAATCAGGAAACAGTGAGGAAATGGAAGAAAGCAGAGGAGAGGGATATGATTGTAGCAGAAGATGTAGGAGACAAAAGCATATAAGATGATGGTGCTCCCGTGAGTGCAAATAAAAGTCACATCAGAGAAGCACATGACAAACTGTGAGGAAGGAGAATGCTGATGTTGCTAATGCATTCCAACCAGCAAAGAAGCAAGTTAGGGGTGTGAAATGTGAATGCTGTTGCATGCTACCACCAGCCTTTGCTTCAAAGCATGGATATGGGGCATCCAACTTAGGATACCTACCCACCTCCCTCTAAAGTTTAAAGTGAAAGCGAAGCATGCTTTTGGATAACTTCCCTCTTTTCTTCATTTCATGGCCATTCTCACTTTCCACTTCACTCCTTCTCTGTCCAAGTCTTTCTCCTCCTGGGATTTTGATTTCATGAGCATTTCTGTGTTGTAACCTTGTTAATTCTTCTTTTTTTCCCCCATGTATTTTGTTTTCTTCGACGATCCATCTATTAGCGGGTCTAGTCTCAATTTGAGTTCATTTAGATCCCAATTGAGAAGCTCAGCGTGGTTTTCTTTTCTCTTTTGGACATCCGTAATATTTGAACTCGAGATTTTACTAGCAACTATCACTGAAGTACTCCGCAGTTTTCTTCGAAATGACCGAGGGAGAAACAAGTAATAGAGGTCATTTTATGAAATGAAACCCATGCATTTTGCAAGACATGGCCACTGCAAAAAACCATTCAAATGAATTGTACCCTTTATCGCTTGACTGTAGAATAATCATTCATATAGTAACGAAATCATTCATAGTAACGATAAACTGTCGACACGACCTTTTTGTCGTGAGGTTTAATCACATGTTGTGAACAGAGTGAAGTTAACCAATAATTATCTTGTTTGAATGGTGAATTGGCCCTTGCCGAATGGGAATGAAAATCTCAAAATTCTAACTTCATCTGTAGGGTCTGGTTAGGATTATTTAGCACATCTCTTCCCTACTCATCTTCCCCATTTAAAACCTGAAGGGTTCTTCTTTTTAAGTAACCCGTAAAGGGTCTAATAATCTAATTATTTTTTGTCCAGTATAGCTCAAATTCTCAAAGTAACTCCAAACACAGCCTAGACTTCTTGTGCTACCAGTTTACCAAACTTAATTTCATGAAAGGCATTTGCAAGATGAATGTTTTGCGTTAATATTCCATTTTATGAAGGTTAGTCTCAAGTCATCCAGACAAACATGTAAAAACTGAGTTTGCATAGAGTTAGTTTAGCGCTCCAAACAAACGCAACACTCTCAAGGGTGTTTTCTTTTTGTACTGATTTCATTGTGTCATCCTCCAAGAGGCTTTAATTCAACCGAAATGTCTGTGTGGGAGAGCTGGTTGGTGGTAGCTAGATATTCAGGACTCTAAGAAAATATACTCCTCTTGTCCTATTTATAAAACAGAGAGAAGACATTTTTTTATTGAGAGAAATTTTTTGTATAAATATACAATTTTATCCTTATTTATTATCGTATTGATTTTGTTTATATGAGGTACTCCTCTGGTTTTATTCATAGGGCAAAGAGACGATTTTTTTATCCTATTTATAAGGTACTAAGAAATTTTTTTATATGGATGTATAATTTTACCTTTCATTTATTATTGTGTTGATTTTGCTTATATGAAGTATAATATGTATTAAATAAGGATAAAATTAAAAAGTTATTAAATTTTAGATGAGAATTAATAAAGTTTAAAGTTTTTTTTTTGTCTACGTGAAACATGTTAGAAGTAACTTATAAATAAAACCAGAAGAGCATAATGTATATTAAATAAGGATAAAGTTAAAAAATTTTAAATTTTAAATAAGAATTAACGAAGTTAAAATTTTTTTTTTATCTGTATAAAACTTGTTAAAAATGACTTATAAATTAAAATATAGAAAAGGCTGACAAGTTGAAAGATTTCAAGTTCGGAATCAGCTTATTAGCTTATCATGTAAAGAACAGGTTTTCCCATTTATCAAAAAAACAAAAAGAAAAAAGAAAAAGGATAATAGATTTGCCCTTCGAAATTTTAACTTGATCAAGGGGCGTGTTCGAAACTGGCACTCCTCAAGCTCCTGTGATAAGATAGATATTTATTATGCACAAAGGTTCGGTTTATTATTTGGGTCATAATGATCTGAAATCATTTTAAGTTCTGAAGACCTTGTTGTCCTGAAAATGGTGAAGCCCTTACCTCAAACTAGTCATTTGCTGGAAGCATCCCAATTAAATGAAACAAAATGATAGGCTAGTTTAAAACCCATACATGACAATGAAATCTGGTGGATACTGAAACTGATATCCAAGTTTGGCATGAGATAATTACTGTTCAGCATGTCTTTCTTTGCGCACTCCAAGCATAGGCCTCATAAAATTACGAACCAACTCTCGTTCTGTCGAATATGAATTACAGATCTGCAAATCCATTCTAATTCCAAAGTTTCAAATAAAGAGTAGAGCCCTCTTCCGCTTAAGATTTTGTTTCTTATTCTTCCATTGAGTAAGTAAATATTTAATGCCCTCCCTCAACGAGGCCTTCCTCCCTTCCTTCGAATTCCAGAGCTCGCGTATTGCGTACCTACCACTAGGATTGTACTCGTTCAACTCCATCAGAGCATTAGTCACCGCTTCTAATGTCTCATCTCCAAGCTCATTCTTTAAAATTTTCAGTTTATCATCTTCGTCATCGATAACTTCCTGCATAATACAATCAATATGAAATAAATAATGTTACATACAAATAAACTTCAGAACGACGCGTCAGCAACCAGTAGCTTGCACCCGCACATATTAAAAAATACATACCGTCTTGCATTGTAAGTTTTTATACATTAAATATTATACCAATAAAATACAAAGCTTACTTTTTTGTCTGCAATATCACCCCGAATGCTCTTGAAAGCAATTATAATTATCCAAGGATAGGCATTTATTTAATGGAATATCTGGAAGAGATTCCTCAGCCATGTTGCAAATGATATGAAAGGTAAAAGCAAAACAAGCGCAAAATTGCCGGAATGCGTCTCTCGTTCTCTGAGCTCACAAGTCTGACATCTTCCAACTTTAGAAGAGCACAAAGAAGATTAAAAGCATGAATCAGAGTTATGGTGGTCATATCCGTTATGATGAGGACCTCCTGTGTATCGCTAGACTGTTATGATGGCAGAACGCTCCAAAGTCAATTTTCAGATGATGATATGAATAAAAGATTAATCTAAGAAACCAAGGGAAGATGGCCTTGATCAAGAAGGCCTGCAGGAGGTTGAATCTGTAATGGTTTAAATGAGGGTCTATACACGGAGGAAGTGGTTAGTGTAGTGCACTGGAGGAAAACGAAGTATCCCAGAGTTTATGATGAAGAGTGGCCTCTGGATGCTTTGGGAACAAGCAATTTCTCGTCATCAAACATGAAAAGCCTCTATAAGCAAGGTCAGTGATCCAGCTAGCAACCGCTTCAATGAAGAATGCAGCCATAGTATTTCTGAGTTCATTTCTTAGCTAAAACAGAATGGGGATTTTCCTTTTCTGTGTTGGTTTTCCTGTTTCTTTTTTGGGCCTAGTGCCCCTTTGTTTCAAGAAAAAAATTAAAAATAATATAATGAAGGGATTCTGGATTAGAATACGGCCTAAATTCCCATTTCTAGGTAAAATGTTCTCAGGACTTAAAATTTCAGTGAGCATGGCATGATAAACATAAAAAGAAATTCCATCTCACAAGATACATTATTTTAACAGTTAGAATCATTGTACCTTCAGATTCCCGCGCTGATCCTCTATCCTTTTAAAGGGCTGCCAGCTCGGATCTCTTAGATCTACCTCCCACTGCGAACACAACTGTAGTGCTAACACCTCATCATCTGGACCTTTTCCCTTAGCTGCAGTTAAAAATGGCCTATGATCCAGCTCTCCCATTTTTTTCACAGTAATATTACTACTACCAGGTCGAGTGCCCAAATGTTCTAACCCCTGTGAGCAAATGAAGCTAGACTACTTCAACGAAATTTCAACAGAAAAGAACATCGCAACAACAAAAAAGAGCAGTCAATGAAAGAGAATTTTAAGGCATCTTTTCCAAACCAAAAGGAAAACTACTCAAGAGAAGAAAAATAACAAAACAAAATCCGCATCACAGTAAAACCGACACATAAACACAAAAAGAGACAAGGATAACCCTTGTTAGTACCCTACCCTAGATGCCATGTTTCATTACAGATGAAATGATTTTCATCAAACCAAGTTGCAAGTTGCAAACTCAAAAATGTACTGTTCTGAGATTGTCCAAATATTCCACACAAATTTAGTCCTTTGTTTGTTAGGCAAAAAATTAGCTAAAACAGAATATACATGATGAGTATCGAACAGTTTGGCGGAAGTAGAAGGCCTTTGAATGTAGTAACGCCAGCTACGCCATTTACACTTCCTTGTGTAAGAAAAATTATACATACATTTATTAACTCCTTGCGAGCATCCTGCAATTCGTCATTGGTCTTACGCTCCTTGACTATAAGGGTTTGTTGCAGTTCTTCCACTGCTTCCAACTCCTCCTCTTTATCCTTCAGATCCTCCTTAATTTTATCCATTTCTTTCTTCACCTTAATATCCTCATCCTCACCCATGTGATTCATTTCTTGCAGAACATCCAGCGCTCCTCTCATTTGCTGGATGTTTAATTCCAACTCTTGTTTGTCATCAAGTTTTCTTTGGAGACCAAGAATTCTTTTATGCAGTTCTTCCTTTTCTTTCTGCAATGCAAGACCATTAAATATGAATTTGATGGATTGGGGGAAACCATAAGCAAAACTCAAAGAGAAAAAAGTTGAACGCTTCTCTGTAGTAGAACAAACAAAAGAGTGAATCCAATCACATTCAAACGAATGGATGGATACAAGAAAATGGAATGCATGCCTTTTGTTTGTCAGCCAAACGCATCACTCTCTGATCAGCCAACTTTTGCTCCATTGTTGCCCTCTCATTCTGCAGAAGAGAGATGGCAAATGAAGTTCATTGTACCTTGAACTATTAATGTAGGCAGCAAGTGGATCTCAGAGTCAATACAAAACCAGCTTATCCACAAATTTAAATGAGAGAAGTATACCATTTTCTTCTGATGAAGTAGTTTTTGTCTCTCGGTTTCATTTTGTGCTTGACGGAGTCGCAAATCCTTCTCAAGGTTCTCCAACTTTATCCTCTGAGCTTCCAAACGCAGTCTATCTTCCTCATGATCCCTAAGGATCTTCTCAGCATGATCACGGGCCCTCTTCTGCATGTTCGTTATCTCTGAGAAGGTAAAGTAAAATATAAGGCAAACAACTGTCTAAGAATAAATCATAAAAACTCGAAAAATAAGCTTCAAAGTTTCGACATACCATTATTGAAAAATTTAATCAAGTCCTCCTTTTCACCCATCAGTTTACTCAGGGAATCGTTAGTCTCATGGTATTTGCTTTGGACCTCCTTCAATTGCATAGTCTTCTTCTCCAAAGTTTGAGTCAAACCTTGGACAAGCTTGGATTCCTTCCTCTTGTCCTCTGATTGTTTATCAGTAACAGATTTTAGATCCCCATTTCTACGAAGGTAATCACCAATTATACTCTTCGTGTTGTAGTCATCATCACGAGCCACCCATCCATACAATCTATCCCCTCGGTTTCTTGCCTTGATATAATCCGTCTTACCACATTGATCCACTTCAAAGCTCCTCTCAAAATCCATAGCGTTATTGAAACCATCAAATTCTTTGCTAAACTCTACAATAGCAAAACCAGAGTGACCCCGATAATTCCACAATGGATGAACTCTCACTGGATTGAATCCTTTTCTGGAAAATTGTTCTCTCAATTTGGTACCACTTTCAGCAACATGCCGTCCATCTTTCAACTGAGTTTTAATGTTAGCCACAATACCCATCCAAGGCCAGACAAATAGTTGGTCTCTGTCAGGCTTTGGGCAATCAATTTTAGGAACAGGTTTAAGATGTCTTTCAATGTACTTCTCAAGAGCCGAGTGCCTAGCTTTTCCTTTTGAACTCGAGCTCTTCGATTCGCGGCAAACCCTCGACGCATGTTGCAAAAGCTCCTTCAGGTGGTAACCTTTCTTACCGCTCGAATGGCAGAAGGGGCATGTATATTTTGAATCGGAGGCTTTGAGTCGAAAATCACCAGCCTTCAATCCTTTATAGTATTTATACTCATAATCCTTCAACTCAGACTTACTCATGTGGTCTGACATGCCGGACGTTTGCAACTGAAATGCATAAAAAAGCCCCAGGCACACCATATTAAAGCAATGGAAGAAAGGACGCGGTAGGAAATCGAGAACAACATCTTTATCTAGTTTAAATATTAGACAAATAGAACCCCATTTTATTAACTACTACGAACGCGAGCTAGAACAATACCTTCATTTTCGGCTTAAAGAGATAAACCAAAGAAATGACCCACTAATACCAGTGCACACTTCAACCCATGAATGCCAGGCAAAGCTTTTATGCTAAGAAAAGCCCCAAGAATGGGAAAGGCAAGCTCAGTGAAGAAACAGAAAAGCTGAACATAATATACCTAGCGGTGTGAAACTGTGAGCCTGGAAAGTCTCCTTGATGGTAAACGGACTTCCGGAGCTGTTCAAAGTAAATGACGTCGATCAGAGAAGGTGTTCATGCTGTAACGAAAGACAAAAGATGCAAGTATAGTAATCGAAAAATTTTCTTTGGAAAAAAAATGGCATTGTAAAATCAAAACCAAAACTCAGGACTCTGCAGAATCAAAAGGATCACCCGAAACGTCTCGACGAGTGGAAGGGGATAACAGAGAAGAAGAGGGAAGAGTGTGGTGTGAAGGACTCGAACAGACAACAGCGAAAACGAAATAGCGTTAGAGAGAGAGTGAGAGAGCTTTGGTGCAAACTTGCGGACGAAGGTACAAACTACAAAGGAGTCGTCTCGCCCTCGTCTGCCCTGTGCGGACACGTTGTAACGTGACGTTCGTCTGATCGGGCCTCCGGTCGTCCCGCCAAGACCTCATGGCTCATGCCCAGTAATGCCCTTTTATTTATCTTTTTAAAATACTCAATTTTGTGACCGTAATGGACATCTCCAAAATATTTATTTATTTTTCCAGTTTGTTTAATTTTTTGATCTGTAAGTTAAAAGAAAAGAAGGAGGGGGGAGGGGGAGGTTAAGGAGAGCAGTAAGTAGTGGTGTGTGAGAGAGCCTGAGACGCATGTCCTTTAATTTTTGGTTGGTTGCGTGGGAGGTATGCCCTTCGCGCTTTTTGCTTCTTTAGGCAGTTTTCTAGTTTCTCCATCTTTGCCCCTGTCGCTTTTCACCGGTGAGAGACAATTGCATCACGCCGGGAAGGGGGGGGGGAAGGAGGGATAGCTGCATTTTGGGAAAGGATCTGCAACCAAAACAAATGCAATAAATTCATGACGTCATAAATAATGTTCATTGTGAGTCCATGAAAATATTATAAAATTAAAATTTTATCCGTTTATAAATTTAAGAATTAGAAAATAAATCATTGGCCATTGCCCTGACCTTAAGCCCAATATTAAAAGGGCTGGGATTGAGCCCAACCCATGATCACCCGTCCTTCAGTGACGCTGACCTAAAAAAAGGTCAGTTACAGCTAGTTATAATTATAAGTTGACTTATTTTTTAAGATTAAATTATTTTCCACGTTCAATGGCACATAACACTTACCCTGGAGTTAAAAAGAATGTCATGATAATGGATAAGATGCACAAAATATGTTAACAGGCTTTCACAACTTTCCAAATTACCCATTTATTGTCTTACATGTTTTTAAAATCATACCAGTGTGTGATAGCAACAAAAAAAAAAAAACACACACACACACACACTTGCATATCTTCAACCTGCTTTAGAGTTTAAAAATGACACCTCAAATACTTTCAGATATAAATTCTTTTTGACTAAAATAATGTTCCTCAAGTATGAAACTTTTCTTGCTTCGTGAAAAGCTAAAATCTAATTAGGTTTCTCTGTATACGTAAGACATGAGGATTTGGCAATGTTAATAATAATTTATGAATAGTCACAAGACTTGTAGATCTTATGTTGAAATATCGATGAGTGGCCAGAATTAAATAATAATAAGAATTTTAAAAAATGAACAGTGCTCCATCACAGATATATAAGCACTAAGACTTGAAACTACTACCTCCGGTCCTAATTATAAGAGCTAGTTGACTAATTTGATGAGATTAATAAAACAAATTAAGTTAATTATTTGTAATAAACAAGTGTTGTCTTTCCTAAAATATCCTTGCTAATCAAATTTATTGGTTAGAACTATTATTATTAGAGGGACTACATTAGGAAAAAATTCATAAATATAAGAGATAAAATGGATTGGAGTCTTGTAATTAGGACCAAAATAAAAATCAAACGAGATCTTATATTAATGACTAGAGGTAGTGTCACGTAACGTTGCTTGAAGCTTGCTTAAGATCACCTACATAGGACGAGCGTGAATAGAAGAGTATTCTGAAAGCTTAAGAACATTAATTGAAAGCATTTAACTCATTTAGAGACAGCCAGTATTCACAACAACAGAATAAGGTAATGAAGATAGGGATGAATTCATGTAGCCATTGGACCGTGCGCCCTTGTTTATCACTTCATCTCTTCATCACATGGGTGGGGAAAGTTCTGGTTTATTCCGAAGCAGATAGACCAACTGTTATCAAAACAATCACAGAAAAGCTATCGCCAAATGTTCCGATATGCTAGCAAACATCTCTAACGCCCCCGCTACTATGAGTCCGGTGTTTGGTGTCTAAGATAATCTGCGTGTACGTGGGATATATATATCGGGGGATTTGGTGTTTAAAGATTGTACTAGAATGGTTATACGGCAAGCCGATCACACTGTAGATGTCTCTATTATTAGCCATCCTCTTCGGGATGGTTGATTATGTAGCAGGAACAGCTCAGACAGATGCCAAACATAAATGTAGAGCTTATCAGTGGAACTGATTTAAGAACAAAGTCATGAATGAGCCAAGAGTGACAGCAAAAGCCTAGTGGCGTCGGTTGGATGGGAATGATAATATTGGACATTGGACCCCCAATCTTGACTCGCGATATTCGGCTACTTGTCCAATCCCAGGCGGGACCGCTTGCCTTTAAACTTACCTCCCTCTCCAATCCAGTCCCCACCAATGCTCCCTATCACTTTCATTACTCGTTCTGGGAATTTTGCTTCCTTCAATTATTTATTTCATGTCTGCAGTTAACTTAAGACCATTTCGTCTCTTGTAGTTTTAAGAATATCAGAATTAACATTTCATGTTTCCAAAAAACAAAAACAAAAAAATCTGACCGCGTCTTATACCCCGGTCCTCAAGGGAACAAAAGGGTAGAAACAGGCCACATCTCTAAGTCTTTTCACAAAAAACAAAATACGAAACTTCCACAGCTATTTCTATGAGCCACAAGCACCTGACAAAACCGAGAATACATATACCGCCGGAAACTATGATATTACCCCGGAAATCCTCCAGATATGCTTTTGAACTTTTTAAGTGTATTAACTGAAATAGGATACTAGTATTAGACATGTACAATCTGGATAACTACGGGCATATATGACATTCTCACCCAAGTCATGCGTGACACGGCGAGACATTTAGCCTTACGTAGTTTCAAGCATAGAGAGGGGAAGCGGATGGGCGGGGGTAAGGTGTGGTGGTCCTCCCATTCTTAGCGTCACCTTCACTTTTTCTGCCACTGGATCTCTTCACAGACGGCTCTTGTGTGCCTCCATTTACAATGGGAACTTGAAGCTGCTCCAATGTAGAAACAACCTCTTCCATGCTTGGCCTGAACTTGGATTCGATTGAAATGCATCGCAATGCCAACGTCGCTGTCTTGTAGGCCTCGTCTATTGTGTACTGACCCTCGAGACGAGTATCCAGCACGAGAAAAAGCTTACGTTTGTTCGCCAGGTATGGCTTAGCCCACTCCACCAAGTTGCGCTGTCCTGATGGTCGACTCTTGTCCATTGCTCGCCGACCTGATAGCATTTCAACCAGTACCACCCCAAAACTATATACATCACTCTTTGCAGTCAGGTGACCTGCCATAGGAATAAGCCATTACCAAGTGGTACAAGCAAAAATTAACATAACTTGATTATTAGCATGACCAAACAATACCGGTGGCTATATACTCGGGAGCTGCATATCCATAGGTTCCTAATACTCTGGTAGAGACATGACTTTTGTCCCCCCCGGGTCCATCCTTGGCCAACCCAAAATCAGAAAGTTTTGGATTGTAATTCTGTGACAAATTAACAAAGGTTTTGTTTTCATATATGCTATTAATATTCTTCTTTAAGAGAGAGAGGGATCCAAATGCCACATACTGAATCAAGCAAGATGTTTGAGGTCTTGAAGTCCCTATATATCACTTTTGTTTCAGCACTGTGAAGAAATGCAAGCCCTCTGGCAGCACCAAGAGCCACCTTCAAACGGAGGCTCCAAGAGAGGGGTTGGAAATAAGAGCCCCCTGTCACGACAATATTTTGAAAGTTAAACACGATTCTCTAGTTAAACCAATGGAAAAGGTGGCAAGGCGTGAATAACTCACTCCTGAACAAATGATTCTCCAGGCTGCCTCGAGGCATAAATTCATACACCAGAAGGCGGTGGTCGTCTTCAAGGCAATACCCGATCAACTTTACAAGATGGGGATGAGAAAATTGTCCAAGAAAATTCACTTCAGCCTAAAAGAGAAAAGGAAAAACAGGGCAAACCAACTCCTGAGAGTTTAGCTTACAAGAGGAACAAAATTAATTAAGGCGACTTAAGTCTTGAATTATTAATTGTCTTGCCTGTAAAGTGAAAGCAACACTAACACACACAAATGCATGTGATAAAACCGCCAAACAGAGGCAAAGACTGCACTTACCAGCCACTCATTGTGACCTTGCATACTATCTTGCTCAAGTCTTTTCACAGCGATAATAATGCCAGTTCCCGGCTTGGCAGCTGTAAGGGACTGCTCATCAATCCACCCTTTGAAAACTGATCCAAAACCACCTTCTCCTAAAACACTATCTGGTCGGAAATTTCGTGTAGCCGCCTTCAGCTCTGCATAAGTAAAGCTCTTCAAATCGGGCGACTGCAAGATCTCACCCACACTCCGGCGAGTATGAGTTGTCGAGGCCTTTGAGACCTCACTGCCCGTGCTGCTCAGATCACTTCCATCAGTGCTCACGTGTTTTGAATTCGGCCCTACAAAAATTAACAACATCAACACAATCAAACACACCCATTTCACAGAATTCCATTTATTTTCCCCATATCCATGGACGAGATAAGTTTGCATCAAACGAAGGTAAAGTGACTGCTTGAAGATGAAAAGTTGATATGTCAGAGCTACTCAAGGAATTCAATTTCATCTAATGAGCAGAAACAGGGATGGGTTTACAAATTAGAGGCATTACAGGGCAAAAGAGAGACTACAGCCAGGCAAAGCGAAAGAGAGAGGAGAGAGAAATATAAATCTGAGAAGGCGACCACAAAACGAACCGATCAACATACATACAAATACAAGAGAAAGAGTCAAGAAGTCAATAGCATGGACACCCTACACTAGGGGTGCAACAAAGAGCAAGAAAAACCCGAAATACCTGTGTTACACTGGCTCTCAGCTTTAATTTGGGAGCCCAGACAACCTCCCATGTCAGCAATAAACGAGAACCTGGGAACACAGTTACCCATAAGTTCCGGAAATCAAGATAAATGAACTGAATAGAGGAGTAAAGAGAGATCAGACGGCGACAATAAAGTAACCGGAATTAAGAATTCAGGTAATGCACCTCTTTGGAGTGAGTTTGAAGGAATAGGCCAGACACATAGGAAGGATAAAGGAGAGAAGAAAGAGGAGAGAACGAGGTGTGGAGGAGAAGGTAAGGAGTTTATACGAATGCTTGTCGTGGTGCGAATTATAGGCTATGGCGAGACTATTCAAAATTTAAAGCAAGTTGAACAATCAACAAGAAAAGTTTGGATGGATTGAACATTAAAGACACGGACGTTGGAAGGAGACGAACAATGAAGGTGAGGGAGGGGGTGGTGGTCGTCTTCGAAGGGACCCCTTGGGTTGGATTTGAAGGGCCCCACCTTCTCTCGTGCAGTGTACGAAGCTCAAACCTTTATGACTGATCTCGTGCGAGGGGAAGAAGGGGTAGCCGGCACAGTTTTCAGCACTGCGAGCCGTTGGATTGCATGGATCTGGGCGGCTAGCTTGAGTTACCCGCAATTTCTCGGCCGATATGCACGAGACTGAACTTTCTAGCTCCCGCCACTGGGACCCTAGTGTTGACCACTTGGGCAGAACTAATCCACTACCGATATTTTTCTTTCCTCCTCTTCTTCTTATCCCAACGATACTTTCTTCTTCTAGATGCCCAATTGCCCCCTCCTTCAGAATCACATGCACTTGTTTATTAGTCGTTGCCCTTTTTATGCAAGAACGGAGGAAATGATGAGTTGATGCTTTTGAGTGTGTCAAGTAATTTCACCACCAAAATGAATGTGGTCTTCAATCCACATGACGTGTTATCGGGAACGTGTAGATATCATCTCGATCTTCATCTTAGCGAGCAGATTTTGGATGCTTCATGACAGTTAAATGATTGTGTGTTTTTTTTCTGGATTGATTGAGAAAGGAATGACTACATAGTTTCTTTGTGTTATTTAGTATGTCTTTCATTGGAAAGGCATGCATTTATTTTTATAATTTAAAACGTTTAAATGTTATTTTGAGGAACTTATTTTGGAATTATTATAATGACATGTATTATTTAGATATATACACAAATTAGTAAGTGCATCGATACTTTATCTTTACTGTAAATTTTATACCTATCAAAATAATTATTTTAAATAAATAGAAACAACAAAAAATATTAAACATGAACCTTTCAAATCAGATCTGGATAATCTCAGTTTGATGAATTTGGATGAGCACCATACAAATCAATGGAGACGTGGAGTATATGTACATGTAACAAGACATCAAAGGCAGTCGGGTTTTGTCCAAATGAGAGTTATATTTTTGTACATATATGTGTTATGAGATGAAATCAAAATTAACTAAGATGATAAAACACAAAGAAAATTCAGTTTCAATTTCAAAATGATAATTTCAATAACGGTCTTTTGGGGGGGGGGCTACAGAGCTGCATGAATATTAGAGGCTTTGGTATAACCACGGGAATAAACAAATATTTATATGGTAATTACATGTAATGATTACTTGATAATCATGCATTAATGCAATTCAATGGTTAAACGAATACAAAACCCAGATTCGCTAGATGGTGCCCAAGGGATCTTACTTTATGTACAAACACTACAGCCCAATGATTGAAGTTTCATCTGTTGGTGGATAAAATGGAATCCCATGCCGCACGATTTGTGCACTTGCTGGTAAAATTTTTAAAAATTTTTTTTCTTATATCCCATCAACAATATAATATTAAATTCATATTTTTTATGAATCCTTCATCATGTTTAAAAAAAAAACATAAATTGTAAGAGACTTAAAGTTTATAAAAGTGTGTAAAATAGAAAAGTTGCATAGATTATTATTAAATAAGTAATTTTAGTTTGTAAAATAATCAAAATAAATATGACTCTTATTAAATAATAAAAAATTATTAAAAATATGAATTTATAAAATATAATAATTTTAAATTATTATAATAGGAGGAGGTTTATTTAATGACTAAAATATATTTAACTTAGAAATCATAGTAATATGAAAATTTTTAAACCAAATAAAACTACATAATTAACTATATGATATACTCTGTATAATTTATGCAAATATAAAATAAAAAATAATATTAAAAATTAAATATTATAAAAAAGTTAAAAAATTATTTTTCACTTAAAAAATATTAAAAATAAATAACTAAAAATTTATTAGGAAGTACAAGAAATATATAAAGAGGTTCATAAGAATAACATAAATATAAGTACACGAATTTCTTTTAAGTCTGAAAAGCTGCTTTTACATAAATTATAAATAGGTTTCACGTACTTTTACAATCGTATTTTAAAAAAATAACTTTTAACTTATAAGTCAAATTTAAATTATAAATCTACAAACGAACTTATTACGCTCATAAACTACTTTTCACCTGGTGAAACGTTACCAATCAGGTACTTAGCTCATGGATTTGGATCTATGGTAGGGTTTCTTAATTGAGTCTCAATTGAACAAAATACCAATCATTAAATTATGATCTAACATTTTATTAAACAAATGATGATGGTGATGGTGATAAAAGCCTATTTTGGCATTTATATGAACCTATTAACTCCAGATCTATGGGTAAGTGGCCCTCTTACTCCCCGCGTTTTCCCCCAAATTTCGCGGCTACACTTTTTTTCTTTTAATACCCTATGTGCTGTACTAAATTTAAAATAAAATATATTATTTATGATTCACAAATTGCAAACCTCATAATTATTATAAATTTAATATTTCTTATACATGATGGTGATTGATAAATCCTTAAAAAAAAAAATGAAAGTAGCAGGTGCGGAAACACAGTCAAGTTGGTTTCAGGCCCTAAAAAACGTAGGCTTCCACATCATTATGTGCTGATTTTTTTTTTTTTTTGAATTTCTGAGTTAAAGTATCCCTTTAGTCCTAAATATGATACATATTTTCTAATATAATTTATACTACAAAATAAATTTTATATTTAGAATCGGATGAGTATATATAAGCAAGATCTAAATCAGACCAAAAAAATCAGAGATTCTTGTGCCCCATGGGATGGTAATTAATTAATTTAATTATGTGCGCAATTCATTTTAAGTAAATTGAGGCAAAGGAAAAAAATAAAATAAAAAAAGATTCTCATATTGTGCCAAAAAAGTAGATTATATAATAGTATTGCTGGTAAAAAAAGATTATATAATAGTATTTCTGCGAAACTGTTTCTGTTAATTAATAATTAATAGTTAATAATGAAAAAATAAATTCGGATTGATATGAACCATTTAGACATGAAAGATTACTTAACCAGGCTTATTGTTGTCTCTTTTTGTTTTGTTTTTTTTTTTTGATAACAACTCTTTTTGTTTTTGTTGGGTGGTTCTGGATCACCTCAGTCCTCAACCTGAATCGAGATAGATATCATTCAATTGAAGAGGTCCACATCCGACAAAAACAAGGCTCGATTGAAATTAGGTTTTGAATCTTTAATCACATTATTCGAATTTCATCTAACCTTGGACGAGTCTGGAGTGGCTGAATACAAGATGCCTTGGTATTGGTCAAGATGATACAATATACTACCTCCAGTTCTAATTATAAGAGCTAATTGATTAATTTGAAGAGATCAAAAAAAGAAGTTAAGTTAGTTATTTGTCATAAATAGGTATTGTCTTTCCTAAAATATCCCTGTTAATCAAGTGTATTGGTTAGAACTACCATTATTAGAAGGACTATCTTGGAAAAATGTATAAATATTATAAACAAAGTAGATTAGGGTTTTATATTGAAAACTAAAATGAAAATCAAACGAGGTCTTATATGACCCGGTAATATCATGATTTCAAATATGATAACATTGATGGTGATTTTATTTAATGATGAGAGTAGATCACAGTTTGGTTTCCCATAATCAGAGGCCTATCTTTGACGCGAAGTGGTTAGGCCAACAAAACGAGGCAACAATGTGATAATTAAGTTCGAAGTTCAAACTTCGAAGAAGCCGGGGGGGATAAAACTGAAACCTGCACACCAACAAGTAAAAACCAATACCAAATTTATATATTACGAATTTTTAGTACACACTGCAACCCTGAGATTCAAATAGCCTCAATATCTCATCATATTTAAAGAGCCGAAACATACAAGTGAACAAACTCAAACCCGACTTGGCCTAATTACAGTTCTTAATCTTGTGCGGCTGCTCCTTGATTGAGCTCCGCAAACCTCATGCCAACACGCATCGAGTGTTTCAAAAACTTCTCTGCACATCTTCGAACACAGCTTTCCTCTTGCCTTTGCAGGGATTTATGCTTGAAGATGTCAACACAATCATTAAAGCATCTCTCCACCAGCGAATTGTACATTCTAGACTGCAATCACGTCATTAGAATCAGACTCCAATCTCAAAGCAAGCAATGATTCGACAAGAACAAACAAGAGATTGAAAGAGTAACTTCGTAGTAGCAACATAAAAATAATCAAAGCAAATTTATAGTATCGCCCTACCTTTAATTATTGGCACTAATTCTTTACAAAGTTGACCAATTACATTTCCCGTCGAGATAAATCTAATCAAACTACACATAGAAATGAACAAACAAAAAAGTGCTACAAACAGAAGCATTCAGGGGTTTAAACTTGGCCAGCATGGACTGCGAGAGAGAAATGCTGGTAAACTAAGTTTAACTATCTAATCTTCCGGTGATCAGAGGTGCTGTGAAAAAAAAACAAGGCATGAACCAAAGAGTACGTCTATGGACCAACACAGGGCGCCTTCTGTGGACCGAAAAGGTGATTACTAAGCACATTTGAGTTAGAATTTAGTTTTCAGAAAACCGCCAGCAAAGGCTGGTTAATAACAACTAAGATCAATGAAAGAAAAGGAAAGCCTCTAACAAAATATTGTTCCTAAAACGTCCAGGTGCAACATGGACTTGTTGAACTGGTTTTAAGGAGAACTTCACTCTGGCTTCGTAGGAAGAGAACAGCAAGAACTAAAACATTTGTGATACTCGTGAATTACTAAGTACTATGAAGCCCCATGACTGGAATGTCAGTCAAAATCTGACGGCCATTGAACCTTCCTAAACTTCAAGGGAAAAAAAAGTTCCATTCCAGCATCTCAACCATATCCCATAAAGCTATTACCTCTTGACTATAAGATTTCATTGTAAACTATAAATAATGTCCTATAATTAGAACGGGAGGTAGTGTTTATTTATTTATTTCTTTTACCAACAACAATGGAACACTATGATAGTGATAGAAGCTAATTAATTAATTATAAAATTAAATTTAAAAATAAACACAAATCA